AAGTCACACTAGCGCTGGAATTCATATTTCAGCAATGGAGTACGTGTCCACAACGTCCTTGTTCTGTTCGAGTCCTGTTTAATCTCGACAATTCTAGTCGATTCATCTCCGTGCCAAGGGGTTCTGTGATCGGACTGGAGATTAGATTTTTGTTATGGACAGCTGCAGCGTCGCACTCTGCTCGCCACCGTTCCTTAAGACTCTGACGCGGTATCGTTGTTCGTTCTCCTGGTGGGTGGCGTGATTTTAGATGTCGCGCTGGTGGCTGTTGGATAACACGATGGATGGGTAACTCGCGATTCCTATCAATGTTTTGGAAAATGCGATACGACTGCTCGCCCCTGCGGAAGTGAGGAGTTTCAACATGCCCCATAGTTGGTAGCTACTGTGTTTGTGTAGGCTTCAATGTCGCTGTTACTATTTGCATCGCTTCATTGAGCTGCGTGCCTCATTTGTTCGTGTGGTAGCTGTTCCCCAAGCAGGGGAACAAAACACAGCGACAAAATTCACAAGTGCCAGGGCCGTTGTACGCAGCACGCAGCTACCTGCTCCCCGAGGGGTGCCGGCAGGTTTTCATAATAAGTCTATTCTCGTCTTGATCTTCTGCTGTCTTTTACAGATTTGGCTTAAATGACAAGGTTCGATCAAGAGTGGCGCTCAGATATGTTGGCTTCGCTTCGTGCTACACGTGTTTTCCAAAAATTCAACTGAGGGTTTCTCCCAGACCAGTCGATTGTCCAGATGGAAAACCATCGCAAATCTTCGTCGGGTTCGGATGTAGCTTCCACTGATAAAAAAATACTGCGTCATATCATCGAGGTCAGACGTGAATGTGCAGTTAGTATCTGTAAGTCGGCATGTTCAGTTGCTAGCACGATATCATTGGCATAAACGAACTTCTTCCACGCTGTTGGTGAGAAGTCCCTGGTACATGCGTTGTAAGTGATGGGGAAAGTATTGAATCTTGCGGGAGTCCGTTGTTAAGAATACTTTCCATACTCACTTGTCCATCGACATGGACCCGGCACAATACCATGCCATCACCGACGGTCGCAAATCATAGCTGTAATAAGCGGAGGAGCCTTCTGGCAGCTGATTATTCTACAGACTTTGTACATGAGACTATCACGCCAGATCATATCATAAGCCGGTGATAAGTCGATCAAAACCACCCCTGTATTTTGTTTCCATTGGAATCCTGCCCCAATGAAGCCGGTGAGCGAAAGCAGTTGCTCGCAACAACTGCTTCCAAATCGATAGCCAGCCTGTACTACTAGTAGGGTGGATTCAGTTTCAGCAGAGAGCCACGTCAATAAAGTTCGCTTTGTCAGTTTCCTGGCCGTGCACGGTAAAGAGATAGGCCCAAATCTCTCTGGCTTCTCTAGATATTTTCTTCGCTTTAGGAGGGCGATGATTTTTACGCGAGAACGTAGGGGTGAACGGAATTTTTCCGGTTGCATGAACTGCCGTCAATAGAGAAGCCAGTCACTACCTGCGCTTTGAACCCAAGTTCTTAAGAAATTCCAGGAAAATTTCATCCACACCAGCAGCCTTCCTGTTCCTCGTGGCCAACATTGCCACGTTTATTTCCTGTTGGGTGTATGGGGTGGATTGTGGGTTTATTTTAGCTGTTAAGGGCAAGAAAATATTTTTTCTGCATTATCTTGCGGACAGCTTTCTCTGTCGGTGTTTTAGACGTATGGGGGAGGTGAGCAACGGTGGCGTCAGCCAAGACTTTTGCTGCTCGATGCTTTTCGCTACTCGGTGGGTTCAGCTGCGCTAAGGTGGCGAAGCAGTGTCCATGCCTTGCGACTGGAATGTGTGCAACCCTGTGTTTCCACTATCTTGCACCATCGTCTCTGCCGCTCTGAATTCAAGAATTCGACGAGAGCAGCTGCAGTTTCAGGAGATTCTCGGCGTTTCTACTCGATGTAAAGTGCCTCTACCTCCTTCGAGCTGCAAACGTTATAGATCTTCTGGTATTCTCGAGGGATGTTGTTTGTCGCAGCAGAGATCAGTATTCGATCAAAAATGACAAATACTTTGAGCCGTAGGCAAGACTCGTTGAATACGGTCATCGACTTCGGTAGTGTACGTTGTCAAGTTTGCTCTTCGAAAGTTCCAGCGATGTAATGGCAAGGACTGAATTAGAGAGCACGCATAGACCAATATGGAGCACTGCAGGGTGGTGCTGGCTTTTTTGGAGAACATTCAAACACTGTTCTGGAAGCAGGAAGCGGAATGACGCACTGTTTTTGGAGATGTAGCAAACGTCCGGAATTCGGTCATCTTCCATCTTGCTGCTCTGAAAGTATCTTGCTCTTTGGCCTCGTGGTACAAATGTACGCCATTGCTGATGTCAGTCGGTTAGTTGTTCACAGTGTAACCCCTTTCAGTGTGGTGGCTGTTAAAGTCACCCGCATAAGCAGTTGCATGAGGCATCGTTGGTAGCGGTAGGTGGGCATTTGATTATCGGTTGCTTGCATAGTTCAAACTAACGATTTCTCCGACCGTCACTGTAACGAATTCCAGATCATTTTGTTCAACTATGTGTTTGCCGATCCAATTTCCGTAACTACTTATCACTGCAACATAACTGAGGTCTAATCTGGCATCAGTAGCCAAACCATGTTTTGAATCACAGGTACTAACGACCATTTTTAACCCAGAAATTTTGCTTCTGGCTGCTTTGCAATTATCTTCTATATCCGTCTCTTACAACTGGTAATGTCAATTTCTTTTTCTTTTAATGTTCTTGACAGATATTCGCATTTTGAATAGATGCCATCGACGTTCAGCGGAAATATGCTGAACGTGTGACTTACGGCGAAATTTTTTTCGACCCTCATACTGTTGGATTTTTTTGCTCTTCTTCTGTGACCCTTATAAGGATCGCTTGGCTAATCTGTTTTTTCCCTGCGACCCTAACAAGGGCGATTGGGTTTATTTCATACTGGTTTACATTTTGTTCTGAGAAGAACCGCTAGATTTGTTGCCAGTCGACCCGAGAGATTGCTCTCGCAACGTTCCGCTGACAGGGGACAAAATTCGTTGTATTGTTAAGTGTTGGCGTACTTTCGCAATACGTAACAGGAACACCACGTGAAGGTTGTTGCCTTGTCCCCACTGATACCTTTTGATATAGTGGTGTGCTTTCAAAGGAAGTTTTCAGACAATTAATGTACTTTCTTAAACATTGCTCATCATCACCATCTTCCATCGACGCTTCTCCTATCGGGTCGCGGTAAACACGCAGCTGTAATGTAATGCAAGTATGATTGACTGCACCTTGCAAGTATGAAATTCCATTTAAACAGTACGCAAAATATATAAAAGTTAGCAAACTACATTTAAGTTTAATTCCATAAATAACTTGAAGTGAATCGAAATCAGGAAGTTAACCATTATATATACCAAGCAAAGTTGTCACAGTGGCAATCGAAATACAGGATACGTTAAAAAACAGCAAAAGCTACGGTTTGTCACTACACAATGCAGCAGGCAACAATAACAATCGAAAGTTTGATAAATTATGAATGTGGAAGAATTTCTCACGAGTTTCCCTGTTGTAACGATGTCTTTACAGTTTCGAATGGTTTTCTTGTGGGCCTTATTCGTTAACTGATGTGGAGCCAAAAGGAGAGGTTTTAGCCTGCGCTGCCGATTTAACAGGTTCTGAACGACATGGTTCCTCCAATCTGCACAGAGTTGATATCCTAATGATGCTCGGCACTCTCGCAAGACTGCATGATTAAAGCCATGATATACCTGTGCATTTCCACTATGCAACTGCGCTCGAAACAATGAGGGTAGCGTATTCTTGTTGTTCGGCATGTTTCAATTACTAGCATGGTCAAAGCACTAGCTTCATCAAAAAAGGGACAACGTCTGTTTGCTTTGAAGGAATCATTAATAGTCCTGCAGGCATTAACCTACATAATAAATTAAGCCATCTAACAATGACATCTGACGTAAAAAAACTGACAATTGTACATTGACTATTTCAAAGGCATTTTATTCCTGAACACCAAATACAATTCTGTCATACAGAAGATGCATTTGGTAATAATAGAAATGTATTATTACCTGCATATACCTCTGCACCTTCTCACAGTTATGGCAAGTGTTCACGTCCTCAGTACCTTTAGTCTGTCTATTAATGGGTACTTCGCACATTTCCGTACTTAAAGTCGTCTATTTCATAATTACCTCGTTTTAAAGCCTCCAAGGCAAAGCAACTTTAAACAAAGTACGAAATTTAATTAGGGTAGCGTGAACGTGCATACCCCGTCAATATTATCATAATATGCGGGCAAGTGCGATTTCTACGGCGTAATTACGATACATTAAATTAAGAAATGGCAAAAGCTGAGAACGAGTAGGAGTCAGATCCGTAGACTCATAGACATGACCGATCCAGAAAAATAGAAATGATGAACAGCTCCATAATACGGGAATAGCGTACTATTCAAAACACGCGATACCATGAAACGGAAAGATTTTAAATGTTCAAATCGAACAAAATTAAGTTCTACTTATCTAAAATTTATTTATGACACATACAACAGTAAATAGGTCGAAAACAATAATCATCGAATTTCAGAGACTATCAAAAAAAATTTCAATAAACGGAATTTCAAAACACTTTTTTACACAACCTCGTTTTGGGTTCACATTCACATAGGTTAGATCAATCTGCAGAATTTTTCCACAACTTTACATCAAAGCACAAGATGCGTTCTAAAACAAGATAACAAAATCATACGAAAGCTATCCCAAGTAAAGAATAGCAAACAAAATGGTACAGCTAGAATTTAAAATAAAGTTACAACAAAGGACTGCACATTAAAAGTATCACGTCTTTTCTATTTTTACGTGGTTATCCAGGAACTGGAAATTGTTTAAAAAGCCTGAGGTAGGGCACGCTGGCTGGGAATTAGCCACGGAATCATTTGGTTGCTCTGTGCTCGGAGCAGCCTCGTCCAATATACGACCATGTTGTGAGACATATTCCTTAAACAGAGCAAAAGACCGTTTCTCCCATTTTTCCTTTTTATTATCAGGCAACATCTTGAACTTCTTATTGAGGAGCTGAGACAACGCACTTCCAGTAACATTGTACTTGTTAGAGTACTTCTGTCGCTTTGCGTCCCTGAACAGTTGAATAGCAGACTTTGGTCGCCACTTGCCGCCATTTGGCGCGGGATGATTATCGTCCTCGATCTGCGCCTTCTCGTCACGGGACATCTGTTCGTACTTGGCCTTCTTCCCAGGGGGAAGATCCTTCCACTTTTTACCCAGAAGTGCAAATACTTCAGTCGCTTTCACTTCAGGATTTTTCTTCAACACTTTAGAATAATGCTTCTGAACATATAATATGTATGCAGATTTAGGACGCTTTTGACGAGTACTCGATTTCTTTCGATCCAGCTTTGGTAAATACGCTGACAACATGGGCACTTCCGTTACCATTGAAGAATTCCTGAACGCATTTGTTCTCAGCTTCTTGTATGCTTCGCGCAACACTTCCGCTGATAGCCCATCGAATGAGACAGCGTTGAAATCAAAGCTTTTGTAAAATATATTACCGCTAGCTTCATACGTTGATAAGTAATTAATGATATTTCTTAACAATTTTTTCTGCTGGAGACGGGTCAAACCTACGGCGTCTTCGACTTCGTCTCTGACAACCGGTTTCACCGCAGGATCACTTTCTAAAAAAGTTCCATAGTATATTTTATTTGCGAAGTATACTACCTCAAACTTACCAGAACTCATGCTGGCCAGTTATTTCAAAACAAAGAAAAACGCCAACAGCATTCATTAGAGCGAAACCTTTCACTGTTTTTCATTGCTATCTAAAGATTCACAGGTTAAAGGACAAAACTTCATATACAAAGAAATGTAAACATATATCAGAGATAGCTAGAGTAAAATAGAGACCTGAGACGAAGTATTTTGTTAATACGACAGTAATCGTAAAGGAACACAATATAAATGCAGGTTTATCACAAAAAACGAAAATACCTAGTCTAGTGAATAACAAACCACTATCGATATTTAGGCTAGTACATCTTCCTCAAGGTTGAACAGATTATATTATGAAAAAATGTATTTTCCGTGCTGAACAGTTATGCTCCTCAATCATGCATCGGGAAACTGTTGGCAGTTGATAAAAAATTGGCCGGCAATCGAAAATAGTGATCTGAAAATCTATTACGATGTGTAGAGCCTGAAACGATGTGGGATAATTCAGCACATCGCTTCCATTTTGGAAGAGAGCCACACCGGAACAATGACTGAATGTCTGCTGCCAAAGTCGAAGAAGAGCAATTTGAATACAATTGAAATAGTTCCTCATTAACTGTAGAATCCGCAGCGATGTGCTTTATCCTTAGCTATTCAACACTGTTTTGGACCTTCTTTTCCGGCATGGTGGTGACTCTGGCAATAATAAATTTTCTCGTTCTAGAAGGAAGGTACAACTCAAAATATCCGGCTAGATATCACGTTGACCTGGAGTACCCACAGGATATATTCATGCATGCTGTCACCTGACGACTTCCGTACTCAACACAGAAACGAAAACCGGCCTGTTTCTAGACGCTTGGAGCAAAAGGTTAAGAGATACCTATCGAGTACAGCTGATTTACAAGTGGAACAATGAGGTGAAACGCTTCAGGAGGTGGACTAATTTAAGAACCTCGACTCCATCATCACAAACGATGGTAACCACCGTTGAAGAGGAGAATTACC